TCCTTCTTTGCCGAGTATAACTTCGAGGTGAAGTACAAGCCGGGGCGGCTTAATGTAGTGGCCGATGCGCTCTCGCGCAGGCCGGACTACGAGTTAGCTCATGTCACGACAGTGATGTCGTCAGTGCCTGACTTGATACGCGGAGCGTATGCACAAGACGACATGTGCGTAGCGCTGCTACGGGCTCTTGGGAGCGAAGAGTTTAAAGACTCTGACAAGGAATTGTCTGGGCGCTTACGCGCGAGGCTGCATCGATACTCGCTCGATGGCGGCCTGCTGTACTACAGCACCGACTCTGAGGATAACCCTCGTGTAGTCGTTCCTCATGATGAGGATCTAAAGTATCGAATCCTCTATGAGGTTCATGATACGCCCGTGGGCGGGCACTTAGGTCGGGAGAAGACCTATGGCTCGGTGAGCTCGATGTACTGGATGGCCCAAGATGTATAAGTGGGTTGGCACTATGTGCGCACGTGTGAGACGTGTCAACGGACGAAGTCCGCGCGAGCACGGCAGCGCCATTGGCGAGTTTGCCTGTCCCCAAGGGATGTTGGCAGTCCATGAGTATGGACTTTGTGTTTGGCCTTCCCAAGGACAAGGCAGGAAACACGGGTATTGTGGTCTTTGTAGACCGATTGAGCAAGATGGCTCATTTAGCGGCGGTGCCGGACACCATAGATGGTGAAGGTACAGCTTTGCTGTTTTTAGACCGAGTCTTTCGCCAACATGGCTTGCCTGAGGCAATTGTCTCAGATCGAGACCCGCGCTTCACCGCGAAGTTCTGGACGTCCCTCTTCAGAGTGCTTGGCACTCGTTTGGACATGTCCACAGCGGACCATCCGCAGACCGATGGTCAAACAGAACGCGTGAATCGCGTTGTGGAGGATATCCTCCGAAGTGTATGCGCTGAGGCGCCAAAACGCTGGAGCCAGATGCTCCCACTCGTCGAGTTCGCATTAAATAATGCAGTGCACGCCTCGACAGGCTACACTCCGTTCTATGTGAACGGCTTGGTTAACCCTCGCGTCCCACTGACGCCGCCACGCAGTGGCTCAGGGCTTGATGGGGGAGGGATAGCCGAGCGGCTAGCTGATGTCAGCCCTGTTGCGGTTCGCAAGCAAGTCAATGACTTTGTCTCTTTGAGACTAAGCGTAATGCGTCAAGTACGCGACGCTATGGCTGAAAGCCAAGATATGCAAAAAGAACATGCAGATGCCAAAGGCAGACGCAATGAAGAAAGGTTTGAGGTCGGGGACCAAGTTTTATTAAATGCAAAAAACCTACCTACTCATGCAGTGTCTGCAGTCTTTAAGACAAAATTGAGACCACGGTTCATAGGACCGTTCAAGGTCGTGGCCAAGAAGGGCCTAGCGTATACGCTTAACCTTCCGAAGAAGATGCGCACGCATCCAGTCTTCTACGTTGGCTTACTCAAGCCGTATCAGGACCCTGCTCAGGTGAGCGCGGAGGCGTTGGCGCCAACGGTGGCTGGGCCACGACAGGCTGCGCAACAGCGGGAGGCCGAACCACGGCAGGCTGAGCGACAGCAGGTGGCGGGGCCACAAGACGCAACAGCAAGTCGATCTGACCTTGCAGCTGAGCGACTTGACGCTCAAGGTCCACGACTCGGTTCTGAACCGACTGTGGTTGTTCAAACCAGTCCACGCGGTGGTTCGTCTCATCGAGACCATCTGCAAGGCGACTCAGAGAGTCAGTCGTATCATGGAGATACTGGTTCAGGGAGCCCACACGTTGCTCCAGCGCGAACACGTCGCTGCGACTCGCGACGCGAGAGTCCAGCTGAGGCTCGGCCTCCTCCTGCTCTGCTCGACGAGCACGGCGAGCTCCACTTCCATGTGGAACGCCTGGTGGCGAGGCGCAGGCGCCAGGGTCGTACTCAGTACCTTGTGAAATAAAGGGGTTATCCTCACTCACAAAACTCTTGGGAGTTTGAGGTTGTCCTCCGGCAGGACTGCCCTGACGTCGTCGACGCTTTTGATCGGGCACACTCACTGCCCCGCCGCTACGGCGTACGACCGCGTCGTCAGGCGCCGAGCGCTTCCCGCCGCTAGAACGCGGGGATGACAGGTCGGTGGCTGAGCTCAAGCTCCGACCAGTGGCTGGAGCAGCCGGCTCATAGGAAAGAGCGGTGCTCGCAGCATGAGCAAGAGGTGGTGACGCCTCGAGGTGATGGGGACGGGGTCCCAGTGTTCGTCGACGTGCTTTCGACTTAGCGAAGTCTAAGCGCAAACGTCTCTCAAGACGAATATCAGTTTCAGAGAAACTTGCTCGAAGAGCATTGTAGGAGGGGAGCCGTCGAGCTCCCTCCACCCAGCTTCGGAATTGTGCTTCATAAGCACGCTGGGATTCCCCAGGGTTGAGAACAACCGGGATGGTTCGCATAGAGGGAACCGGTTGGCGGTTTAGCTGCATCTGCAGGCGCGCCTGATACTCCTGAGGAGTTGTGACTTGTGGAGTCAGATATCGCTCTCGGAGCCGGTGCCGTTGCACTTGCTCATCAGCAGTCGAGGCCGCAGGCCCACACGTGTACGTGTTCAGCGGCTGCTGCGCCGCGAGGCGGGCCGCTTCGGCAGGGTTCCGCGGCTGGAAGCCGTAGTCACGGCGTGACGTTAGAACAAGTGGTCGGACCACAGGTCGGAACGACTGCGAGCGCTGCTCATTGGACAACTGACGGCCTTGGGCCTCGTCCAGGTCATTCGTAATGACGTTGTGATCGTATCGATCTTCCTCGTCATACCGCGACGATAGCGGTGGCGCATCGCGCAGCGAGCGAAACGGATTCGAACGTTTAGAGAACGGATGCGGTGTCCGCAGGTCTCTTCTTGTTGGAGATCGCGCCGTTGAGCGGCTAGACCTCACAGAGGAAGCTGGGGAAGACGCGGCACCAGCGTGCGACCTCGGAGAGGTTGGGTTGGAGTGATCCTCACTACCCATGGGCTCGTCGTAATCGACTTCGCCCTCTTCGAGTTCCGAGAACAGACCATCGTTCCCTCTGGGCGGCGCCCGCGGCTCTGACGAGCTTTGAGCTTTGCTCTCTTCTTGTTGACGGCTCATGGAGCGTTGACCGTGTCGACGGCGATACTCTTGGTGGTACTCCGCCACCGAAAGAGACGAAGATGCTCTTGGAGCAGTTGCGGAGCGCAGTTGGGGGTCTGGGACCGACGAGGCAGGGGCGGCGCGACGCGCTGGAGACGTTGGGCCGTGGGCCGGAGTGGGAGTGCCAGGCATCAAGGATGCGAACGCGTTTGTGAGCTCGTGGAGCTGCAGAACGCACAGGTGAGGTCTAGTGACCTCCGTCGTCTTGACAAGACGTGACCTCGCTGAGGAAAGTTCGAGAACGGAATGTTCTCATCTTAGTGAGGGAGAGTGTAACGGGGTTACATGGTGTGGAACACACAGGGGTACGAAGTACCCGGAGAGTTAACAAACTCTCAGTACATAAGTTGGAGAGTTAACAAGGTCTCTCAGTACGTTGGCTGAAAGCCACACGTTATGCATTTGATTAGGTTTAACTATGCTAGATAGTTAAAGAGATACATTTACCCCTAGGCGGCTTGGCCGCAATAATAGTAAATAAATCGCTTCTGGTTTTGAAGCATAAAAGTTAAGGTATTAACTTTGAGCCCTGGTCTTGGGCTGTAAGTGTCCTTTGGATAAGGAACTTAGTATTAGTGACTCTTTGAGTCGAACGTCTTCCTCTGACGCTAAAGCTACGGCAGCCCCGCTGCATGTTTAGGAAGAGATGAGAAAAACCTCCATCACCAAGTTCCACGGTTTCTTTCCAGAGTTTCTGGTAAAGCGAGTAGGTCAATGGCTGCTCCCCGGACGTCGTCGGGTTACTAATCTGGTCACTATCAGCCTCCATGAGCTTCATTCCCGAGAAAAGCTGTTTCATTTCATCTCCATATTCAGGCGGCAAAGCTAGACGCCACACTCTATACAGGTCCTTAATTGCACTCCGATAACCACTTAGTGTCCCAGCTTTCACATCACGGCTTTTGTAAACAAGAAACTGCTCAAAATACGGAGGCGTGAACTCCATTAGATTGAGTTCACCACTGCTGTCAAAGAATCGATCCGTGTTGTGGTCGACTTTAGCAAGCTCTTTGCGAATCCACTTTGCAATGCCGTTCAAGCTACTCTTGTACTTCCCTCGTGTTTCCTTGGTAACGCAGGCATCTCGGATTGCCTCCACGTCAGCTACAGCCATCCCGCAGGCTGCGCTTTCGCTGGTCTGTTGCGCGCTTCCTTCACTCATTTTACAGTGGCTTCTGGGTAGTTTTAGATCTATTTTGGCCAATTGGAACAGCGTGTTATCGTAAGACGAGTTCACTTACGATTTGTTGGAAACTCGGGATGGCAAGGCGTTGTTTAGTGAGCCTATGTCAAAATACGAGTAAGAATATTTATTTTTGATAAAATGTAAGTGGTCAGCGCTTACGAATTAACGCGAAGCTCAATATATTACTTATGAAAGTACAGGAATCATTTATAATGTAGTCTCCAGTTTGTCTTGCAACCACTGGGAATTGATCGGTAATTTTACCTTCCATACGAGATAGTCTACAAGCACATGGTGACTACAGTATGTGCCCACTCATATCTGGAAGAATTTGCGCTATGGAGACAAAGATTCAGTTTCTGGTTACCCAAGATGCGCTGCGTGTCCTTGATCTTAGAATCCAAGCGGGTACACGAGCAACACGGACAATCTGACGCCGAGCCATGGTATTGCGTCTGGTTAGAGTACAGGATCGCATCGGTGACATGTACACAAGTCCAGGAAGCGGTGTGCAAAACGGGATCAATCGGAAACAGTCCGACAAGAGGTTCTTGTCCGTCCAGATCTTCGAATGAGGCCTCGTGTTCATGTGAATGGAGATGGCAATCAAGCAGTACGTGTCAAAGCCCACAACTTGAGGTCCACACGTCGAGTTCTTGTCGTTCTCCTGGTGCAACGCCATCAACGTGGGCTCTAACTAGCCGTCCAGGAAGGCCAGATCGATCACTTTGCCCGCAATGTCCACTTGTCGTAGTAGGAGGGGGAATTCTCGCACGGTGATGTCGTTCGGCGTGTGGCCACTCATATGGCTTCTCTTGAGTTTCGCTCCGACCTTGCCGCTCTTGTCCAGTAAGGCGTTCAGAGTGTTTTTCATGTCAGTCGTGACTCCTCTGTTCTTGCTCTCGTCCACTAGCTCCCCGATTTTCTTCTCTTCCTCATCGTCGTCTTCTTCATAGAACGCTAACTCCATCGATTCTCTTCGAAAGGGCATGATTCCACAACGTGTCTCTGGGTCCACGCGAGCGGACGCTTGAGTGGTGAGACCCAGTAGCTGTTCTCAGCCGTATTTCTCTCCTTTCAGCGTAGCTCCAGGTCCGACAGCGTCCTAATCAAAGGAGAACATGGCGAGTGTCGCTAGAGTTCGTAAGCGTCTGTCGTAGCCCGCAGTGACCCAATTAAACAGCGGGAACGTGAGTAGCAGCACTTATTCGCCCCCGATGAGGCGATGCTTCTTTCAAAGTAGACTGCGGTCGAATTTGAGCATGTAACGCTCTCAGAGAGCCGCGCGCTTACTGCGTGGTAGAACTAAACTTATTAAACCCTATAATATCAAGAACGAAACTTTGACACCTGCAAGCTGAGCAGACTGCAGGTTACATCCGTCGTGTAAAGCGCTGCGTGGGCAACACACCCGTCGCGCGGCCCAGCGTTTTAACGAGAGACTTGGTGCTGATAGTGTGTGGGCCTTGGCTAACACTGATAGATGGTGGGGGGGTCTCGATGGTGCGGTACACAGTCTGTTGGCCAATACTCCACGCTCGCCTTTCGAGTTTGCACAAAGCCTCCAGTCAGGGTCAAACTACACAAAGCAATCGGCACCAACCAGGTTTACGCCGATGCCACCAGAGCGCGTTGTCAGGAGGAAGGCGAAGAGGTTACTATCATCAGCCTTGAAAGCGTAAAGTCGCTGCTGTCGCTCTGCGTTGTGCCGTCAAGACGAGTGCACTAGCGAGGCAGTACCGTGAAACTATTTACATTCCGCTCGCTCAGTTGCTGGAGTAGATCAGTCCCAACATCGACGCCAGCCTGTGACACGAGGCAGGGGCAGAGGTCATGGAGGAGGAGATGTGTCGTCATGTGATATGTCGGGAAGGATCAAGAAGCACAGCTCCGACAGTAAAGGTACTGGGCGGATGGAGAGGCTGTTCAGTCCTCCGACTCGGAGGCTCCTGTGAGATGCTATCGTGCTACTGTGAGATGCTACTTGCTACGGTCTGCCAGTGTCCAGTGCCAGACGTCATTGCCACAGCCCAAGACACTGGCAATACCAGTACTACCGATCCAACCTACAATCCTACGCGTGTCTATGCATGTACTGCATCCCGGCGTACCGGTCTGCAACGCGCTCATGTGCGAGCGGCGTGCGGAAGATACCAAGGACTGTATGAAGGACGACATTGGTGGCGGTGAGCAACTGCAACTGCGTTGCAGGTGATGGTGAACTACTTAGCTTTCTATAGACTATCTTAGACTGAGTATGTGCTAATCTAACTTTGCAAAACATGGAGGTTCAGGTGCTGGCAGCTCTCACTCACACAACTGCTTTTGCTGTGCTGCGTGCACAACGAGTGAGAGGCAGCAAGCACCAGAACTCCGTGATCCTGTCGTGGTACTTTGCCCGGCACTCACGTGTTTTACATTCTATTCCTACTTGCTCTACACCTACTGCCCTACAAGTCTGTGCTTTGGGCACCTACTTTACGTAGTGATAGAAGGTCGGAGAGCCCGGTGACGCGCCATGCGTCATCTCAGGTTATGAGCCCAATCAGGGCGCAGCGATCGACTGACGTGGACGCTGGTGTTGAAAACACACAAGAAGAAGTTTTGACGAATCAAGGAGAAGATTCCCCGGGATTGGTCGAAAGACTGAATGGCCCGGATGATGCGACATTATCGCAATCTGATGCTGAGCGACTAATTCGCTCATTGGTCGGAATTACTGGTGGGCGACCGTTTCTTCGAGTGTTACTCGAAGGTATGCAGAATTCGAACACAATCGAAGAAACGGGGCCAGTTGAAAATCCGCCCCCTCCGCCTCCACCACCGTCGAGCCAAGGATCGGTTGGCAGTGGACGAAGCTACACGAGCCGAGGAGAGAGCATCCTGGACAACATGAACCCCGGTGGTCGGTACGACGACAAGGAGCTTTCCGACCACACCAAGGCGTTGCGCAACTCCGCAAGCATTGTGTTGCCTAAGCTTCACAAGAAAGAAGACTACAAAGCGTGGCAAAGCGAGGTGCCGTTGCACTTCGAGACGCGCTCGCTAGGCGACATTACGTATGGAGGAGAGCGATATGGCGAAGAGGAAGGTCTACGTCGCCCTAAGTATCATGAGTGGTATGCGACGCGAAAGAACAAGACGCTCTCCGCGTTGTCCCTATCTCTATCTGTGGACTTACGCGTTACGTTCAAGATTGATGAGATAAGAGACAAAATGGATGCGGCAGCAATGCTGTATTCAACGATTACCAAACACTTTGAGGCTGGAGACGGCATCAACCCTGACTACTTGCTACAGGACTTGGTGACTCGCCGATTACAACCGAACGAGTCCGTTACTGCGTACGTGGAGGACATCGGACGAAAGGTGACACTCCTGCGTCAAGGAAATGGTGAATTTGAAGAATGGCAACATGCAAGCCTACTTCTATTAAACTGCGTGTTGATATTTCGAGATCTCGCGCGTGAACACGCAGACTGGATCAACCAACACGACCGACGTGGCCTAAAGCTTTCGAGGCATTGCAGCGCCTGCGTCCGCTGAACATCAGTGTGATCAGCTGCACAGCAGACGAATCGGCCTACAACGCGGACGATGCAAGTCGCGCAGGTTGGTACTGGTCAAGGACAAGGACGAGGACAAGGTCAAGGCTACGGACATGGACACAACAGTGGAAGTGGACGTGAGTCTGGAAAGAAACGTGGGAAGAACAAGCGCAAGAAGGCAAAGGTTGCAGCTGAGAAGAAGCAGCACACAGCCTGCGCTAACTGCAATGGAGATGGTCACTGGTATGCAGAATGCACTGCGCAGACTGGCATGCAACTGAGACCAGACCTGGCCAAGAGACTTAAGAACAAGTTGAAGTACAAGAAGTCGCCAGCTTCCCTCATCAACTCGGTGAGACGAGTTGAAGTTGCCCAGTCTGACAGTGAGCAACGAGCCCTATTCTCGGGTCTCTCGTTGTGTGCGACGACACGACTGGCGAATAACGATGGGAACAACGATGGTGTGGCGACGGCTGCACACATGTCTCCCGTGTATTCGGTGACAACACCTGCGAGCAGTGAGGCTGAAGATATGAATCTGGCTGAAGAGGTGAGGACGTCGGCAGTCGGACTCGAGTCCAAGTGTACACCTGCAGTACACCCGAACGTGCCAACGACACCGCAGCAACTGCAACTGAGAGTTCCTGTTAATCATATGCAAGGTGGAGAACAAGAACAAAAGGATGGACAAGTGCATACAGGACACCAAGAGGTGCAATTTGCTGTACCAGCGGCGATGAAAAGCCAGTGGGATAGTGGCCAATCGCTTGGTCCACCTCCTGCTTTGGGAACTGCACTATACTATCTGGGTCAAGGACTGATGCAGAGCTCGCAAGGACCTGGATCTGAGCTATGGTACACCAAAGGTGGACCACAAGTGGGTCCACCTGTGCCGGGGGATGATCATTGTGGACCTAATGTTGAGCAACGCGGACGCCAAGGACCTGAGCAAGATTACGGGCGAGGATATCAGTCCAACATGAGTCCTTATGAGCTAGGACGCAGTGAATTTATACCAGGACGAGCAGACTCACTACAACTACAAGGATGGAGCCGCTCACCTCCGCGGAACTTCCAAAGAGAAAGATCACCGCAACGTGGAAGGAGCCGCTCACCTCCGCGGAACTTCCAAAGAGGAAGATCACCGCAACGTGGAAGGAGCCGCTCACCTCCGCGGAACTTCCAAAAAGGAAGATCACCGCAACGTAGAAGGAGCCGCTCACCTCCTCGGGACTTCCAACGAGGAAGGTCGCCTCAACGTAGATGGAGTCGCTCACCGCCCCGAAACCTGCAACAAGGAAGACCTATGTAGTATGGAAGAAGCCGTTTACCGAGAGGAAGATCACTGCAGCGAGGGCGTTCGCCATTGCGTTGGCGTTCGCCACCTCGTGGTCGTAATTGGTCTGCTCGTCGTGAGCCACGAGCGAACAACCAGCCGCCAAGTCATTACGGACCCCAGCCGCAAGAGGCGTGGCGTAGTAGACCATCACCCGCGCGTGGACCACTACTGAATGATTGCATTCGTCGAAATGATCTTCAACGTCGGAACTTGTCGCCAAGTCGTCGTGGAAACTCGCCTAGACACTGCGAAAATCGTGGGAATGACGGTATCGGTGGAATTCGACAGGTGAATGCGATTGGTCGAAACCAAAGAAAACAGTCTGATGACTCAGATTGGGTGGAGTGGATTTTGGAATCTGGCTCTCAGGCGAATGTATGTGGAGACTTGTCTTTAATTACTACCATTCGAGAAGATCGCACCAGTCGGCTTGACTTTGCCAACGGAACATCGGAACATGCAACTATGTGTGGTTCTGTCTTGCTACGCATTGTAAACCAAACAACTGGTGAACAAGAAGATCGCCTCCTTGAGGACGTGGTCTACACTCCTAATGCAAAGGTGAACATTATCAGCCTCGGTCACTTGCAGACGGCTGGGAAGTACAAGCTGCTGTGCTCAGATGATCAGCAGTCAGCTTGGCTCTCAAATCCAGGTACTTCGTTGAAGTTTATCATGCGAGACAATATCTACCGATTGAAGGCAGAGCGAGTGTCAGGAGTGATGGTGATGGCAGCACGCAAACAAGACATGGACAGCAGAAAGACGATGGAGTTACTGCACCAACGGTTCGCTCACATGAGTATGGACACTGTGAGAGAGCTGTCGAGTAAGCTCGATGTCGGAGTAAAGATTAATGCACAAGGTCTGAGCTCCTACGAGTGTGTTGCGTGTGCTGCTAGCAAGACTAAACGGATGACTCATGCAAGGATTCCTGAACGGAAGTCTGAGCCACTAGAGATGTTGATGATGGACATATATGCACGATGAACGAACCGACGGAAGGTGGTGCAACTATGTTCCTGCTAATCATTGATGAAGCTACTCGCTTCAAGTCGGCGTATCTACTCGAACGAAAGAGTGCGGCTACACTGTACGTCAAGATTTTGCTACATCAACTTCGGACTCAGTTTCCCAAGCTCACTGTTCGGAGACTGCACTCTGATCAGGGTGGTGAATTCACCAGTAATGCGCTGAGAGATTACTGCAATGAGCATGGGATTGTGCAGCAGTTCACGAATGCTTACTCTCCTCAGGAGAATGGTGTGGTGGAGCGAGCAAATGGCACTGTACTGCCTCGCATCCGTGCTATGCTGACCGCTACACATCTTCCTAACATGCTATGGGGAGAAGCACTTCTACACATTGTCACGACACTGAATTGGCTGCCAACTAAACCGCTAGGACTGGTCTCACCATACAAGAAGCTGTACAGTGTGACACCCGATGTGGATGAGCTTCGGACTTGGGGATGTGTGGCACACGTGCGTGTCCCTCCTGAGTCCAGACAAAAGAAGGAAAAATTGGAGCCGAGAGCACGACTATCTCTATTACTTGGTTATAGTCATGATACCAAGGGCTACAAATTTCTGGATTTGAAGACGGCTCAAGTCGTGACTGCACGTGGACGAAACACGCGGTTTCACGAGGCGTTTACAAGTGACGGCACGTACGTAAAGCAGCTTCTAGAGAACGCATATCACGACGGTGATCATCAGTTGCCCGATAGTGTTCCGGTGGCACGCATCAAGACTAGTATGGAGACGTACCTGCCTGGTTGGAGCTCTGAGTCTTCGACTGTGACGAAGCAGCTCGAGATGGTGCCGGTAGCTGATGACCTGCAGGACAAAGAGCATGAGTCCAGTGGGAGTGCGAAAGACGACTTACCTGAGGAACAGAGAGTAGAGTCGCCAGCCGGTGTAGATGCACCAGTTGAAGTTGCTGCGAACGATGAGACAAAGGAGCCGCCTGCGGCACCCAAGTCTGGCAAGCGACGAAAACGAAAGACGCGAAAGAAACTTGAACCAGAAAAGAAGGAGACGAAAACCTCTGAGATTCGCGGTCCTACTGTTCAACCCTGTCTCAAGCGACCTCGAAGGACGCAGAAGCCAAGTGTGTGGCTTCTTGACTATGGGGTGGGCAACGTGATGTCTATCAATATGGACATTGAGATACCGACGACCTACGTCGGAGCAAGCATTGGCTTCAGTGGAAGGCTGCTATGCTTGCTGAACTACAGTCACTGAAACGACACAAGACATGGAAATTGGTGCCACGCGCGGCAGCCAAAGGCGTCAAGGTTATTACGTGCAGATGGGTGTTCGCTGTTAAGCGTGACGAACGAGGGCGTGTGAAAAGGTTTAAAGCTCGTCTCGTGGCTCATGGCTTCAGACAACAACTGGGCGTGAACTACAGTGAGACCTACGCACCGGTAATCCGGTTTGAGACGATCCGTGTTGCCATCTACTTCGCCGTTCAACGAGGATGGGAAGTTCTTCAGTACGATGTAAAGACCGCGTTTCTTTACGGGGACCTCGATGAGTTGATCTACATGGAGCAACCACCAGGCTTTCAAACAGATGGGCCAGCGTTTGTCTGTAAGCTCTTGAAGAGCCTCTATGGACTTAAACACGCACCGAACGTATGAAACCGAATTCTACATGCCAAGTTGCTGACACTTGGGCTTGAAAGACTGGAATCGGACTACGGCTTGTACGCGCTGAAGAAGGATGGAGAAGTGACTATGCTCCTAACTGTATACGTGGACGACCTATTGCTAATGGGTCCACGTGAGCTGTGTGCTCGAATTGCAGCCGCGCTGCAAGAAACGTTTGAGCTCACGACCATGGGAACCGTGAAGTACTTGCTAGGTGTGGAGATCTTGATCAACCGACCCAGTCGGCAGATTATCTACTGTCAGAAACAGTATGTACTCGAAGTACTCAAACGATTTCACATGGAGACGTGCAATGGGTGTACTACGCCTAGGCTTTGACACTTTCAAAAGCGGTTGTTCCTGCTACGACCGAGTACCTGCCCTATCGAGAGCTGGTTGGTGCGCTTCAGTATCTTGTAAGTGCCTCAAGACCTGACATCGCACACGCAACCAGACATCTCGGGAAATACGTAGCCAGCTACGACCATACTCACTATGCGCAAGCCAAGCGGGTATTGCGCTACCTGCAGGCTACACGTGACTTTGGTCTGGTGATGGATGTTGCGTCAGCGAGTGACCTACGTGTGGGTTGCTATTCGGATGTAGACTATGCTAATGATCCAGTCGACCGCCGCAGCATCAGTGGATACGTGACGACACTGGACAACAATGTTGTCTCCTATGCATCGAGGAAACAAGAAATCAATGCTCAGAGCACATGTGAAGCTGAGTACGTTGCAATAGCTGAAGCTACAAAGGACTTGCTGTGGCTTGCAGGGCTCTGCCGAGAACTAGTGTGGAAACATGCACTACCTGTACTACTCGGAGATAACCAGGGAGCCATCTCTCTAACGACTAAACCCGGCAAGCACAGCAAGCAAAAACACATTGACAACAAATACCACATGGTGCGGCGGGTCGTGGAACTAAAACGGATCATTACGCAACACATCGGGACGGAGGATATGGTGGTGGACATCATGACCAAACCACTTGCGGTGGTCAAGTTCTCTCGATTCCGAAAGATGCTGAAGGTACTGCCTATTGTGGCAGACAGTGACATGGCTGCCACTGTAAACGTAAAGGCTACATCTGCGTCAACTGCGATGCATGATACCTTGACTGCGTCACCTGCGATGCGGTCAAGAACGACGGATTAGACATTACTGACGACGATGACATGTAGTGTGCTTGTGTGCCGACTGGATGAACCAGTTTCGTGTGGCTGTACCACAACACTAGCATGCAGTCAACTGCGCTGGACTACGGACATGTGCGATTCGAGTGGGAGACTATGCAGCTAGCAAATTACGGTGGTGGTGGCTATCGTACGACTATTCTCAGTGGTGTGTGTACGGATGAACCGATGTGATCGCGTCGATTCGGCACTGCATCGCCGAGATCAAGTGGGAGTGTGAGATGCTATCCTGCTACTGTGAGATGCTACTTGCTACGGTCTGCCAGTGTCCAGTGCCAGACGTCATTGCCACAGCCCAAGACACTGGCAATACCAGTACTACCGATCCAACCTACAATCCTACGCGTGTCTATGCATGTACTGCATCCCGGCGTACCGGTCTGCAACGCGCTCATGTGCGAGCGGCGTGCGGAAGATACCAAGGACTGTATGAAGGACGACATTGGTGGCGGTGAGCAATTGCAACTGCGTTGCAGGTGATGGTGAACTACTTAGCTTTCTATAGACTATCTTAGACTGAGTATGTGCTAATCTAACTTTGCGAAACATGGAGGTTCAGGTGCTGGCAGCTCTCACTCACACAACTGCTTTTGCTGTGCTGCGTGCACAACGAGTGAGAGGCAGCAAGCACCAGAACTCCGTGGTCCTGTCGTGGTACTTTGCCCGGCACTCACGTGTTTTACATTCTAATCCTACTTGCTCTACACCTACTGCCCTACAAGTCTGTGCTTATGGCATCTACTTTACGTAGTGATAGAAGGTCGGAGAGCCCGGTGAGGCGCCATGCGTCATCTCAGCTCCGAGCCCTGCGAGCCTGTTGTGTCGTCGTGCCACTTCCGCAGCTTCTTCCACAAACGCAAAGTCGTCTTCTTCGCCAACTGAAGAGAGTGGAGTTAACAGCGATGGCGTCACAGTGTCCTTACTGCCGTCACTATCGGAGTCGTCCGCCTCAGAGTGAACTTGAGGCCACACCAATTCGTCCACAGCGGCCGGCCAGTTCATTTGATGAGAGTTCAGCCACGCATCACTGAGCCGCAAGGAGTCTTTTTTAAGTCGCTCCACCTCGTAATGACGCGGTAAACCCGACAGTTCTTGCTCCTTACGCCACTGCTTCCGGTATTTTTCCTCCATCCACGCACCATTTTTTAAGTCGCTCCACCTCGTAATGACGCGGTAAACCCGACAGTTCTTGCTCCTTACGCCACTGCTTCCGGTATTTTTCCTCCATCCACGCACCATCTGTGAGAGAGCCACGTAATAAGCATACTTCCGCTGAGCCCAAACTACTCGAAGCGCCACTACCGGAACCGCTCGTAGCATTGAGCACCACGTAGGCTTGAGTGGAGTAGTAGTTCACAAGTTTTCGTACTTTAACTTGGAGATGTTTCCTCAAATACACACGATTGGACCTACGCCCTGTACGATCGAGAAATTGGTGACCATCCGCCAGCAATGGTAAATTACAGCGCGAAGAACACCTGCCAGTAGTAGATGATTTGACTTGGCTCCGACTCCGGTATTAATAGATCCAGACAGAAATTGCACCAGCGACAGATCTTGTACTGGGACAGGAAATCCAGAGTCTGGATTCCTGTCTGGATTCCAGACTCGTGTGACCAAAGTTCCCAATACGTGAAAAACTTGAAGACGCGTCATAGATCGCTTCCTCCGCCTCGTCGTCCAGACTCTTCCCCTCTCGCACTGCACTGATAGCAGCTCCAAGTCTCCCATCAGTCTTCTCAGCTTCGCCAGCTTCTTCATCGTTTCGGCTTGCACTTGATCATTATTATTGATAATAGCTGCAAAAACAGCGGCACTTCTTTGCGCGTTTCCCACGCAAACGTCGCTGAGGCAGGAAAAAAAACGTGACAACAACAGGCTCATTTTCTGCTCTGGCTGTCCAGCGTCTTCTTCTGTCCGTGCAATTATCTGGCAGTAAGAGTCGAACGCAGCTTCGATCAGAGCCACCAGCTCGTACAATACGCCGGATACATCACTATATCTCGCTCCATCCTTCGCCAGAGAAAATTCATACGAGTTATCCATGCGGCAGTGCAACATGACGTCCAAGCCATGTCGGAGAGCAGCGTTCTCGTATTCGAACGGAGCTTGTAGGAGCACCTTCACCCAGAACCTTATCGGCTGCATGAGCGTCGAGCCGTCCACAGAATACTTGAACGAGCGTCGGAGACGCTGTCGTGGCAGTCAGCGATGAGTTCCGGATCGAAAACTGCACTAGTCGATGACGCATCTGACGGTGATAACGCTCCTGTGCTGTTGTCTCTACCCAAACGCCGACAAGATCTACGACCTGGCACCGTGAAAAAACGCGGACGTAATGACCGATACTGGGCACGATTGAGGAAAGCACTCGTTGATGAGAGCGGGCAGCTCTACAGGGTGCAAATAGCGACTGCATTCACGCACAAAGCGAAGCTTCGCCAGGATCCGTTTTTTCGCTGTGCCCTCCCACCCGCCGATGAAGTCTTTGTTGAGAACTTTTTGCATGCGATGGAGCTCGTTTGTGTCGATGTACGAGAGCTCGTGCAGAGAGCTCAGCAGACTCAATAACTCGTCCGTAGAGAGAGCTTGCATCTCTGCCATACACGCCTCCAACTCGTTGTCCAGGTCCGCAATCACACCACCGTTTTCTTCAGCCCCCACCTTGTCCGAAGATGACGCTGCCTCCGCATCGTCCTCGCTGTTCGACGTCGCCGTCTTGGACTTACATTCGCTTTTTGCTGGGCAGTCATTCGGTTTGTCGAGTCGAGACAAGATCGGGGAGGTTCTCCGTTAATATATATATATATATATATATATATATATATATATATATATAATATTTTGTTTCGAGCACCTGGACCGCAGAGGGGAAGGGCTCGCCCTTAAGCAACATCTGTAGAGGTTCTCAGCAATCAAGAGGGTCTTTCAACACAAACGTCGTCAACAAGCAGATCTCATAGGCCACATTATGATCCGTGCGTGGCGCTGTCGTGGCTGAAACGGTGGATTCAATGTCCATTCCTCTGGGACTCTGAAGGGTCAGAAGCAGGCGTGCTTCCTGTTGGAAAGAAGCGCCAGTGCTGCCAGCCATCGCTGGTTCGGATATCCTTCACCTTCACGATGGTACATGGGCAGGTAACGCCCATGATCGCAGAAGCTCTAGTGCTCTACAAGAGCGGGCAAGTGATCCCGAGTCCGCTATCGTGTTGTCTGGCGGTGGATCTCCACATAAACCTGAAGTGACGTCAATCGCTAAGTCGATTCGTCGCGCGTTGTGGCTGGAGGAGCACGTGGCGCAGTACGGAGTCGGCGATTGCGTCTGGTTACAAGCGCTGCAACTTGACGTCATCGTCACTCCCAGTTCAACTGGCGGAAGCGCAGCACACTGGTGAGCCGGCTATCGTCAAGAATCTGGAAAATGCCTCTGGTAAAATGATACGCGATCTCGTTCACAGCACCTCCGACAAATGGACTGATCAATGTGAAAAGGCTGCGCGATAAATATTTGAAAACGCTCGAAGCATTGGAACCGTTCAGCTTCGTGTCACTAGACTCGAAAGATTACCCTCTGCGTGCCGTTCATGATTCGCTCCTTAAAGAGAAGCGCGACGAAAACATTCAACTATGTTATCAGTGTGCAGCATTCTACAAATTACCAGCTATACCACCAAGTCATTACGAGGTAAGTAGCTTCAGAAATAGGCTACTACTACGAATCGGGCTTGTCTTTCTCGTTTGTTTAAACAATTACTGCAGTTTTGATGAGCTGTGCAAGGCAGTTAAGAAATTACCGTCTACAGTGGGTGATTTGGATGTTAAGATGCTGGAAATGCTCGTTCTGGAGCAATCACGAATTCATCGGATGGAGGTTCTACTCTCGGGGCGGTGTTGTCTGGCAGATAATACTGCGACCACTCGTTGTAGTGTCTGCAGGTAGACGAAGACACGCTGGGGAGCTGGCAAAGCTCCGGGTAAGCTGTTGTCGAGTGTATTGCTAATTGCAAAGTGAGCTGTTCTGGTCTAAGCCATGCGTCGGACGAACACACTGTGTTACGCAGTGGCAGCACTGCTCTCGGAACGACACAGGATACAAAAAAACCAGCTCGTCCGGACGCGGCACATCACAGGGAGCTTTAATTCTCTTTGCACCTCAAGCAACAGCTCTTGTGCGCAATGTCAGTGCGGTAAATGCGTCATCAAAGGTTTTATCCTTGCCGAGAGCGGCAGACTGCCGCTCTCCGCCGGCAGTCGAGCGTCGGGTACCAGATTGGACCCAATCAACGACTCAAAAGAGAGACACCAAACGCCAGCGCGTGAGCAGCAGCAGCAAGAATGACGTCATATTTGCACGTAAGGTGGCACAGAGCCTTGTGAAGTGCTGCAGCCAAGGTAGACGGTCAGTAGACTCACACCTTAATCTCGATGAATTGGAAAACTTGACGTAATATTGCTGTTGTGACGCAGAATTGGATGGTATAGTAGCGGTAATGGATCTGGCGTGTGTGGCGTTGTATGTGGTATGTATCCTGGAGCCTGCGGTGCGTCTGGGAGATCTTGTGGTGGGCAATCCGCTCTATCAAGTTGCCAAGAAGTATGCGGAGATTCCCGAGTTAAGTCGACTAATATGAAATCGACTATATATGTGACTAACAGCCAGTTCAAAGGTACGCAGATGAGAGAGGTGGCACTGTGTGTGGCTGCGTGTGTTCACATCCGACTTTAGGAAGCGCACTCGAAGCTTTACAGTAGAGTGAGTGAGAAGTCGCAGCTTATGAAGCTGTTGGATCTTCAGGATGAAGGCAATGACGCTCTCTCCAGCAAAGTCACGGAATACGTTGGACTAATGGCGGAATTTCCCACACCAAAAAGTTCCCACTCTGCTCAATTCGCTCGATTACTACTGGGATACATGAATACTTGCGTCTCGCTGTTAACTGCCATGAAAAACTACGAGGTATGAATTATTTCGGGGGTATACCGCTTACTGTATCTTCTATAATAGCTTAACTTCATCTTCTAGCTTAACAAATCACAAGATGCGATGCTGCAGAAACAGCACTATTAATATCACCGTGGATTTCGCATCTACAAAGAATCTCTCAGCAGGATGCAAAGCTGGCCGGACTTTTTGGGTACTGTGGAAAATCGCTGCGGCGGTGGATGGTGTCAAAAAAAATATTGCAACGAGTGGCGCCCTCCAATTTCGTTTGGTAGCTCTATCATTCCTTCTTAAATGCTCAAACTACACTTTTTCAAACTTTATCCAACCCGTAGGAGAAATACTTGACAACGATAGTGGGAAATGAACCCAAGCGGAAGGCTAACTAACCTTTTCTTTCGGTAGTGGTCGATAGGTGCACCGCGCTGGTGTCCAGTACGAACGAGCAGCCAAAAGATCACAGCAGGGACTCAAGGAATTAATCTGGTTTTATGATCAGTCAGCGAACACGTTGAGTAAAGCACGGCCCACTTCAACCCACATGTACAGCGTACGTAGTGATTTTCTTGCATGGGTATTTCAGGGTTTTGGACATATAGCCAAAGGCATGTGGTCGTTTTGAAATACTTGACAGTCCGAATCCCTTTAATGGGAATATATCCAATGGCTTGAGCACTTCGCGCTGAATTGTGAAGTGTCTGGGATGCACTTAAAAGGAGTGCCATGATTCTCGAGAATGCGGTCCAATATGTGCAGCTGTTTGGAAGCGCCGAAAAGCTCATCGAACCCTGTCTACTATTCTCCATCGCAGGTGCTCTCTTCAGCTCAATTTAGTCGGGGAAGCGAGAAAACCGTCTTCTTCACGTGGTGGCTTCAGCAACTCCAAAAAAAACGCATCCTGTAAATCGGTTTATGGGGGTGAACAGGCACCTGTACAACGGGTACGTAGCCCTAAGTGTACCCCTAGTTACATGAAGTCGGACACGCCTCACACCTGTGATGTACATATCCGCGAGCTCACAAACGCCTACGCATCGTTGATGCCCAACTTCTTGTCGTCGGCCCACGACCCAATGCGCACCGCGCATCTTGGTCTCAAGCGGTCTCAGACCTACGCTCGCGCTCCGCGCCTACTCCAAGAGCTGCAAACCGCTAAGAGCTATGCTCTTGACTCATCCGAGTCGTCGACAACAGCTCAGCGGTTAAACACTCGCTTCGCAAGCGATAGGTCGGTGATTCGATCCCAACAGCGCGCCGCCCTCTCGTTCCATGAACGATTGCCCACGCTTGGACAAGCTTAAGGGCAACACCCTTTTAGCTCAATGGTTGAGCGTTGGCTTTGAAAGCCACAGGTCGGTGGTTCGATTCCACCCGGGCGCAGCCCTCTCATACCATGCGTAGTCCGTACTCGGACGAACTTACGGGTATCGCCCTTGTATCTCAATGATAGCGCTCCTGCCTGGAAACCAAAGCGATCCCCGCCCGGGACACACCCCTTCTGCTGTTACAGCGTATCCACATCTGGATCATGCTCATCGAGCAAGTTAATTCAAACCAACTATGCGTCTATCGGGACGCTTGTACCTGAACCTTGTTCAGCACAACACGAAGCACCTGCTTCCTTCGGGACCATGTCCCTAACACCACGAGGTCTCTCCACCTCCTGCTCCCGCTGCGAGCACCGCTCATACGTACGAGCAGGCTTCTGCAGCCACTGGTCAGAGCCTGAGCTCAATTACTGACCTGTTATCTCCCCACTCTAGTGGGAGGCGCCCAGCACCTGGCGACGCTGTCGCACGCCACGGTGGCGCTTCGGCACCGGATGTGCCCAATCGTAAGCGCTCACGACGTCAGGGCAATCTTGCCGGAGGATAACCTCGAACTCCCATGAGTTATGTGAGTGAGGGTAACCCCTCCACTTCACAAAGTACTGAGTACGCCCTGGCGTCTACGCCGCGCCACAAGCCGTTCCACGTGATAGTGGAGCTCACCATGATCATCGAGCAGATCGGGAGGAGGCCTTTCCTCAGCTGGGTTCTCGCGGGGAGCGTCAGCACTTGCCGGAACGGCGTCTGCGTCAATACGACGCCGGCGTCCACGACGCGAACGCTCACGTTCATCGCCCATCGGTCTAACTCGAAGAGATGATCCACTTTGTGGATCGGTTAGAGCCACCATTGTTGACTCACAGACCTGGAGCGTCCAGTCGCTCGGCTGAACGTTCAGCTTGCCTTGCTCCTGCATCTCGAGCACTTCACTCCGCGGCCTGTGGCTCTACCACATGCTGTCATTCAGCCTCTTGTGGCTCTGTCACCCGCTGCCCTGCAGCTGTCCGTGGCCCAACCACCGTTGGCGCCAACGCCTCCGCGCTCACCTGAGCAGGGCCTTGAGGCGGTATGGTTTAAGCAAGCCAACATAGAAGACTGGATGCGTGTGCATCTTCTTCGGAAGGTTTAGCGTATACGCTAGTCCGTTCCTGGCCACGACCTTGAACGGTCCTATCCGCCAAGGTCTCAGCTTCGTCTTGAATACGGCAGACACTGCATGCGTTGGTACGGCCTTCGTGATCTAAACAGACCACGCATCCTTGAGGACGGCGACAAATTCGCCTCACCTCTCACCAACGAATATCGAGGTGGCTGTCCTTCTTCACGAAGTACAA